CTTTCTTTCTTTTTTTTTTTTTTTGAGACAGAGTCTTGCTCTGTAACCCAGGCTGGAGTACAGTGATGCTATCTTGGCTCACTGCAACCTCTACCTTCTGGATTCAAGCTATTCTCCTGCCTCGGCCTCCTGAGTAACTGGGATTACAAGTGTGTGCCATCATATCTGAGTATTTGTATTTTTAGTAGAGACAGGGTTTTACCATGTTGGTCAGGCTGGTCTTGAACTCCTGGGCTCAAGTGATCCACCCACGTCAGCCTCCAAAAATGCTGTGATTACACAAGTGACCCACCATTCCTGGCCTAACCAAGCAAGCCCTAAGCATAGTATAAGCCCTTTTTCTGCCCTTTGGGGTCTAACCAAGAAGAGATCATCTTAAATGTACATACGTATTTAAATAACTAAAATGAAATCTTCTGAACTTTCCCATCTGCCTTTTTTTATCTTCTGATGATTTCATGCCTTTAATTCTTTTAAGAATTAACATTCAGCCGGGCGCGGTGGCTCAAGCCTGTAATCCCAGCACTTTGGGAGGCTGAGGCGGGTGGATCACGAGGTCAAGAGATCGAGACCATCCTGGTCAACATGGTGAAACCCCGTCTCTACTAAAAATACAAAAAACTAGCTGGGCGTGGTGGCGCGTGCCTGTAATCCCAGCTACTCAGGAGGCTGAGGCAGGAGAATTGCCTGAACCCAGGAGGCGGAGGTTGCGGTGAGCCAAGATCGCGCCATTGCACTCCAGCCTGGGTAACAAGAGCGAAAACTCCTTCTCAGAAAAAAAAAAAAAAAAAAAAAAAGAATTAACATTCATTTATTAAGAATACTTCTTCCAATATTCCATTCATTAAGAATTCCCTTCCAGTGTATAAATGCATTATTAACATTCTCAGCAGAATATATAAACCTAGCTGGATGACACTTATTCAGCAAACACTTATTGAAAACCTACAATGGACACATTTTCATAACTTACCTATACAATACTATTCATGATTTTGACATTTTAACAACACTGAACATTTCATGTTTCCCTAAATGCACAAACATATTTGTACTTTAGTCTACTAATTAATAAAGAAGATAGCATAAAAGAGTTTGACATTTGAAGCTGAAATCTTAACTTACCCTTTTACATACTATATATGTGCTTTGGAAATATATACAAGAGAAGTACTTAACATCCTTGAAAGTAAAATGGGGTCATAATACATTTTATGGTGTTATAATAAGGATACTTAATAACAGATACATATGTAAGTATTTACAATAGCACTGTCCAAGAGAACTTCTATGATGATGGATATGTTCCATATCTGTGATATCTAACACAGCAGCTGTTAGCCACATGTGGTTATTGGGTACCTGAAATGTGGCTGTGACTGAGGAACTGAATTTTTTTAAAAAAAGAAACTGAAGTTTCTTTAGCACTCAGGCAAAGTCCACCAGGAGATTTTCTTCTGAAAACTGAATTTTAAATTTTGTTTAATTTTAATTAATTTAAATTTAAATAGCCACATATGGCTAGTTGGCTACCATACTGAACTGTGTAGAGCTAGAAAAATTCTAGCATGTAATATATATTCAATGTTATTTTACTTCTATTTTCCCTATCAATACCAGCTTGATGGCTTGGTGCCTGTAGTCCCAGCTACTTGGGAGGGTGAAGTGGGAGTGTCATTTGAGCCCGGGAGGTTGAAGCTGTGCCATGTCTTAGGTGACAGAGCAAGACCCTATCTCAAAAAAAAAAAAAAAAAAAGGAAAGAAAAAAAAGAAAAAAAAAAAAACCACAACAAGTAATCCCCCATAAAAAACTAACTTATAGCCATTAAACTGCTTCTTCAATCAAACAGCAATAGCAGCATAAAAACAAAAGCAGGCTGGGCATGGTGACTCATGCCTGTAATCCCAGCACTTTGGGAAGCCAAAGTGGGAGGAATGCTTGAGCCCAGGAGCTCGAGACCAGCCTGGCAACATGGAGAAATCCCATCTCTACAAAAAACTAACCAGGCATAGTGGCATGCACCTACAGTCCCAGCTGCCAGGGAGGCTGAGGTGAGAGGATCATTTGAGACTGCAAGGTCAAGAGGCTGCAGTGAGCTGTGATCACACCACTGCACTCCAGCCTAGACAACAGAGTGAGATCATGTCTCAAAAAAAAAAAAAAAAAGTGATTTATTAATCAGTTATATATGGCATACATATGCTAAGTAAGAGCTTTGCATCATTACCTCATAACTTTTTGAAGTTGGCGCTATCATTCTGTAAGTAGAAAAATTAAGCTTAGAATTTGTCCAAAGACATCCTGCTACTAAGTCAGTAAGCAAATATTCAAACCAGGTAGTCCAATTCCAGAGACTATGCTCTTAACCACAATGCTAAATTGCCTATATTTTAATGAACCAGTTTATGTAAGACTCAATATATATTCGGTGGTAATAAATGTCCTCCCAACTAAACAACCACACATATACAGAGCAAATTAGAAATCAGACAATTTGAGCTACAGACACAAAAGTTACACATGGTAACTGGCTGACCCAAAATGACTCACATCTGTCAACTGGTGTGACCAAGTAAATATACCAAATTTGGTGATTTTGCACTTATTAGGAACACTGACAAACAAATCTCTCTTCCCAGAATTAAATGACTAAAATATAAATTCGTATTTTAGAACTCTATTTTGATAGGGAGATGGGGGAGCAGAGATTGTACCTATTGCAGAAGCTCAGGCAGAGGCAGTCAGTATTTACGAGAGCCTTATGTCACTGTCTACAAGGGATATTTGTTTGCTAAGACATCAAACATTTCTGCTAGGAGAGGATTAAACCGGATTCACTTCATTTGCATGAAGCACACTGCCACTCTTATCTCAATTCTAAAAAGGAGCTTAATTCACTTAATGTCTGCAATATTTATTACAGTATTTATTGTGCCCAAAGCTGGAATTCTTATTTCAGTTCTGCTTGATAAGTCAGAGGAACATTGTACATGGCAAGCTATGGAATGCTGAACACTAGAGGAACTTCTGGGTGACAGGAAAGCTAATGTCTGACCCATTTTCCTTTCTCAAGGAAGAGTGAACAAGAAAAGACCCCTTGGTGACTATGACCTTGGAAGAGAAAAATAAATAGATAAATAAATAAATTTTTGTTTTTTAAAGAAAAGACTACTGGTCTTTCACCCAGGTCAAAACAATGTATGTAAATTTACCTCCTCCTCTCAATCCTATGTGTCTCTAGCTTCTCTTCAGACTTCATGATCCCTCAGATTGTACAAGCTCTTGATCAAAGCTAGTACGAAAAGCTACTATTTATTGAGAAATTATCAGTCCAAGATTATTAGGCACTAAAAAAAAACTGCTTTGTAGATCTGCAGTAAGTAGCTTTAAGAAAAAACAAAAACTTATTTTAAGCAAGTACAGATGAAAACTCAAACTATAATAAAAATATGAACAGCACCAGTGTTCTAGAAATACTACTGAAGAACCAAAGAGCCGACCTTAAGGCAGAACAGCCAAATAATTATGGCACCATTATTTTAGCTTTGTCTGACCTGCTGTGTGACTTGGAGCTAGTCCCTTTGCCACTTTATGCCTTTCTCTTCATCTCAGTGATAGGGAATTAACTACTATCTTTCTCAGTGGAATAGTGAGTAGATTAAATTATTAAGCAAAATGCTTTGGGCAAAAGTCATATGAATGTTAAATATTATGATTTACAAGCATTCATTTTCCTGGCACTCCTGTGGGGTTAGGAAGTTATCTCCATTTCATAGATGAGTAAACAGGCACAGGGGGTGAGATCACATGGTAAGGCTCTATTTATTTAGTCCCTGTGGGAGGGGAATAATGCACACCTTTAGCAACCATATGAACTTTCCTAGCACATACTACACAATCTTTAATGCATTAAATCCTTAACATAGTGCTGCATCTTTTGAGATGGAGTCTCACACTGTCACCCAGGCTGGAGTGCAGTGATGTGATCTCGGCTCACTGCAACCTCCGCCTCCTGGGTTCAAGTGATTCTTGTGCCTCAGCCACCCAAGTAGCTTGGATTACAGGCACCTGCCCCATGCCAGGCTAATTTTTGTATTTTTAGTAGAGATGGGGTTTTACCATGTGGGCCAGGCTGGTCTCGAACTCCTGACCTCATAATCTGCCCGCCTTGGCCTCCCAAAGTGCTGGGATTACAGGCATGAGCCACTGTGCCCAGCCTGACAATGGAATATTTTTCAACGTTAAAAAGAAATGAGCTATGAAAAGACATGGGGGGACCTTAAATGTGTATTACCAAATAAAAGAAGCCAATCTGAAAAGGCTGCATAATCAATGATTCCAACCACATGACATGATGGGAAAGGCAAACTATAGAGAAAGTAAAAAGATAAGTGGTTGTCAGGAGTTGAGGGGATTGGGAAAAATGAGTAAGTAGAGTACAAAGGATTTTTAGGGCAATGAAAATACTCTGTATCCTGTAATGGTAGACACATGTCATTATACATTTGTCCACACTCATAAGCACAACAACAATAATGAACCCTAAAGTAAACCATGGACGTTGGGTGATTACTGTCAATATAGGCTTATCATTTGTGACAAATGTGCCACTCTGGTGGAAGATGCTGATAATGGAGTATGCTATACATGTGGGTTGGGGGGAGTGTGGGAAATCTTTACACTTCCTCTCAATTTTGCTGTGAACCTAACACTGCTCTAAAAAATAGTTTTTAGGGAAAAAAAAATGGTTAGGTTGTCACAGGCCTTCATATCGGTGTGTCCCAACCAATTCTCTGAAATGAATATTTGCCCTTTGAGCTGTAATTATTAATAACAACTGTGCACAAAGACAGTTGGACTGAAGAATGAACAAGTAGCAATGGGAAGGGTTCTGGAAGGCCAAAAAAGGGTAAATATACAACTCATGTATAATGAGAATATAAAAGAAGCACAAGGGATTTTTCTGCTCTTATCTAACAATGTCTGACGTATCATGTACCCGACTCCGAAGACAGTCAGCCAGGTTTCGGCGTGTGAAGTTAGCTGCTGCGGTGGGAGACAATTCATATCCTGGTAGAAGAGATAAAGAGTCATACTTAAAGTAAAACAGAAGGAATAACAGTGCCCCAAATTATTCACTACCCCTGCTCTTTTTTTTAAATTTTTTTTTGTTTGTTTTACCCCTGCTCTTAAAACCCACCATCTTTTGTACACAAAGCCCATAGACTGAGGGGTACGTTCCTCCTCTAGTCCCTTTCCTCATGCAACAGCTGTGAATAGCTGGTTAGTACTGATGGCAATTCTTGGCCACAAACAGAACCAGTTTTATAGTGGAATGAAACTTGTAGCCTTGCTTAAACTATTCATTCATCAACACACTGTGGTTTCTGCCATAGAAGGAAAGGGGCACAAATACACAGGTAGTGGGAAAAAAAGACGTCTTAGATGCCAATTTTTTTAAAGTTTATTTTAAAAAGGATATTGGGGCCAGGAACAGTGGCTCATGCCTATAATCCAGAGCTCTGAGAAGCCAAGGTGAGCAGATCGCTTGAGCCCAGGAGTTTGAGACTAGCCTGGGCAACATAACAAGATCTGATCTCTATAAAAATTTTTTTAAAAATTCACCAGTCATGGTAATACATGCCTGTAGTCCCAGCTACTCAGGAGGCTGAGTGGGGAGGATCCCTTGACCCCAGGGGTTCAAAGCTGCAGTGAATTGTGATTGTGCCACTGCATTCCAGCGTAGGTGACAGGGCAAAACTCTGTCTCTAAAAAAATGAAAAAGGATACTGGGAAAAGAAAGGCTAGAAATTAGGACTACCTCAGAGTCATCCCTTATTTATTAAGAAGTATGACTTTCTTTTTTTTTTTTTTTTTGAGACGGAGTTTCGCTCTTGTTACCCAGGCTGGAGTGCAATGGCGCGATCTCGGCTCACCGCAACCTCCGCCTCCTGGGTTCAAGTAATTCTCCTGCCTCAGCCTCCTGAGTAGCTGGGATTACAGGCATGTGCCACTATGCCCAGCTAATTTTTTTTGTATTTTTAGTAGAGATGGGGTTTTACCATGTTGACCAGGATGGTCTCAATCTCTCGACCTCGTGATCCACCCGCCTCAGCCTCCCAAAGTGCTGGGATTACAGGCTTGAGCCAACGTGCCCGGCTTAAGAAGTATGACTTTCAAAAGTACAAGCCACGGGGTTGGGGGGAACATTTCCATCATTCTGCAATATTTTAAAAAATAGAGTATCTCAAGTGTTAAAACTTCAAAAATAAAAGTTGTCATACCAACAAAGGTACAACCCAGAGGAATAACGTCAGGTGTGCATGTAATAATGCATTCACTTTGGAGCTTAATCCCCCTGTAAATTAGGACCAGTGCCAAAAGGCACAAGAATGATCCATAACTCAGTGGACCCACACAGAAAATGTCAGTATGGAAAGACACACAGCAATGTGGTTAAGTAATTGCTTACAACATTTCAAATACCACTGTTAAATTAGGAGAGATTTAGATCAAAATTCTAACAAATATTTATTGAGCAGCAAATACGTTTCAGGTTCTAGGCTATCTTTTCACATGTATTATTGTACTTTAGCCTCACAAATCCATTACTTCATATTAAATCATGATGAAAGCAACCCTTGGCCAGGCACAGTGGCCCATGTCTGTAATCACAGCACTCTGGGAAATTGGGGCAAGCAGATTGCTTGAACCCAGGAGATTAAGACCATTTTGGACAAGGTGAAACCCCATCTCTACTAAAAATATAAAAATTAGCCAGGGGTGGTCGTGCGCACCTGTTTTCCCAGCTACTTGGGAGGCTGAGGTGGGAGGATCACCTGAGCCTGGGAAGTCAAGGCTGCAATAAGCCATGATTGTGCTACTGCACTCCAGCCCAGGCAACAGGAGTGAGACCCTGTCTCAAAAAACAAAAAATAAAAAGAGGCCAGGCACAGTGGCTTACACCTGTAATCCTAGCACTCTGGGAGGTCCAGGTAGGTCAATCACTTGAGGAGTTTTAACACCGGTCTGGCCACCATAGCGAAACTCTGTCTCTACTAAAAATACAAAAAATTAGCCAGGCTTGGTGGTGTGTCTGTAATTCCACCTACTCAGGAGGCTGAGGCATGAGAATCACTTGAGCCCAGGAGTAAGAAGTTGCAGTGAGCTGAAACTGTACCATTGCCCTCCAACCTGAGTGACAGAAATTCTGAGACCATGCCTCAAAAAAGGGTTGGCGGGGGGGGGAAGCAGCAGCAACCCAGACAAATGGGAATACTATTCATTTCTTTACCTAAACCCCTAAACACAACTAATGATCTGATCATTATGCTAAAGGCAGAAAAGTCATGCCTAATTATCTGCATATAGATTTTCTCTTTCTTTCCCTTATTTTGGCTCAGTTCTTTAACTTACATAAGAATTATGATATAGAGTTACATATACAAAACTGTACTTAACAGGTAATTTTAGGATCTTTAAGGGCAATTTTAACCAAATATGTTCTGTGCACTTACTTTAGACCCTAAAACTCAAGTAATAAACAACTCTTGCTACCCTTGTTCACTCTTCTCCCTGTCTCAGGACAGCCAGTGAAATAATACTGTACCTACTGGACTTCAGAAGCATTACTGACATACTTCATTTGTTATGGAGGCAAAAAGTGGAACCACTGGGAAAAAAAGCAAAATTCTTGAAATATTCTAAACCTGCGTACACCTAAGTACCATGTGCATTATGTTCCTGAATGTAGGGACTAAGCCTTATTGATCTTTGAATTCTCTGCAATATTAAGCAGAATGCTTACTATAGAATAGGCCCTCAAAAATATTTATGGAATTGAATACAAATGCTAAATCCACTACCCAAAAAACTATGTGAATAGATCTTGAGGCATTTTACACATGCAAATATAGTCAAATTAAGTTCCTTCACAGTATTATTATACCAGTGCAGTGTATAACGTTGTTATTGAACTGTGAAGTAAGTGGAAATAAGTTTTTCTCTGCTAGAACACCACTACAAACGTTCCTGGATCAGAGGCCTAGTGGCTAGTATTGTTTGACAGGGAGGCTTTCCCAGTGGATAAAAGTTTATTAGCCCCAGAGAGAGCTTACAAAGTACTTCACAATAGTCCTAATTATCTCTCTAGACGGGAACCTATCAGAGAGTAAGGTAAAACCCTTTTATGGCATAGTAAATACCTACAGTTAGTTACACAATGCTTTAAGTTTACAAAGCATTTTCATATATATTATTCATTAGTATTATTAGAATTCATTTTAGAGATAAGGAAAATAAAGGCCCAGAGAAAACAAATCACTCATCACATAGAAAATAGTAAAGCCAAGGTTTACCTAGGTTTTTTGACTCTGAGATTCAGATTTTTTTGTTTGTTTTGAGACAGGGTCTCACTCTGTCACACAGGCTGGAGTGCAGTGGCACAGTCATGGATCACTGTAACCTTGAACTCTTGGGTTCAAGCGATCTTCCCATTTCAGCTTCCTGAGTAGCTGGGACTATAGGCAAGTACCACTATTTTTTATTTTTTATAGAGCCAGGGTCTTTCTTTGTTGCCTCGGCTGGTCTCAAACTCCTGACCTCATGTGATCTTCCCATTTCAGCCTCTCAAAGTGCTGGGATTACAGGTGTAAGCCTCTCTGCCTGGCCAGATTCAGATACTTTTAAACTAAAAATCACATCCTCTGAAATATCTAACACTTGAAAGTCTGATACTACCATCCCTACCTCCAAGTTGGTGTTAGTTTTTTGGGGTTTTTTTTTGGGGGGGGTTGATTTAAACATTTTTTTTTTAGAGACAGAGTCTTGCTGCCTCCCAGAGTGCAGTGGCACAATCATAATTGACTGCAGCCTCAACCTTCTGAGCTCAAATGATCTTCCTGCCTCAGCCTCCTGAGTAGCTAGGACTACAGGTGCATGCCACCACACTCAGCTAATTAAAAATTTTTTTTTGTAGAGATGACATGTCACTATGTTGCTCAGGCTAGTCTTAAACTCACGGGCTCAAGTGATCCTCCCGCCTGGGCCTCCCAAATTACTGGGATTACAGGTGTGAACCACTACACCAGGCCAATGGTGTTAGTTTTCTCTACCAACTATCAAATGTCCAACTATCAGTGTTATAATAGTTCTCTGCTCTAGTATTATTGTAGGAAATCTATTTTTTTTTTTTTTTGAGACGGAGTTTCGCTCTCGTTACCCAGGCTGGAGTGCAATGGCGCAATCTCAGCTCACTGCAACCTCCGCCTCCTGGGTTCAGGCAATTCTCCTGCCTCAGCCTCCTGAGTAGCTGGGATTACAGGCATGCGCCACGATGCCCAGCTAATTTTTTGTATTTTTAGTAGAGACGGGGTTTCACCATGTTGACCAGGATGGTCTCGATCTCTTGACCTCGTGATCCACCCGCCTCGGCCTCCCAAAGTGCTGGGATTACAGGCTTGAGCCACCGCGCCCGGCTAGGAAATCTTTTAAGATCAGAAGAATTAGAATATTTAGGGTAGAGACAACTTTTTAAAACATAGAAAACTCAAATGAAAATATAACTACATAAGTCTTAAAGAATATTATTTTTCAATTCAAATTTAAAGACAAACCAATTGTTACAGGCTGAATTTTGTCCTCTAAAAATTCACATGTTGAAGTCTTAATCCCAAGTATTTCAGAATGTGACTGTATTTGGAGAAGGGATCCTTAAGAGATTATTAAATTAAAATGAGTTCCTAATCCAATATGACTGGTATTCTTAGAAAAGGAAATTTAGACACAGTACAGAGGGAAATGCCATGTGAAGACACAGGGAGAAAATGGCCATCTGCAAGCCAAGGAGAGAGGTCTCAGAAATCAACCCTGCAAACACCTTAATCTTTGACTTCTGACATCCAGAAGTATAAGAAAATACATTTCTGTTGTTTAAGCCACCCACTCTATGACTCTATAATGGCAACCCTAGTAAACTAATATGCCAACCAAAGCTCTAACTCTTACCCACCATTTCGCATCTTATAAAGTTGCACGTTTTTCTGAATATATTCTGCAAACTGTACAGTGTCTCCAGCCTCTCCAACACACAGAAGTAATATTTTTTCACTCATCTTAAACATCTTGTCATGATCTGCTCAAAGAAAAAAAAACCGTGTTAGAAATTGCCTTAACAGAAATTGACTCCTGTTATTTATGCAACCATAAACAGGTTTATTAATTACTATAGTTGGCCTTCCATATCCATGGATTCTGAATCCACAATTCAACCAACTATGAATCAAAATTATTCAGAAAAAAAAAATAGATGCTTTCATATATCCTGAACATGTACTGACATTTTTTCTGGTCACTATTCCCTAAACAATACAATATAACGACGATTTACATAGCATTATGTCATATTAAGTATTATAAATAATCTAGAGATGATTTAAAATACACAGGAGTATCTATTTACATATGTAATATGCTGTAGATTTGGGTATCTGCAGAGATTCTGGAACCAATCCCCACAGATACCAGTGATGACTGTATATTGAATAATTTCACTAATCACTGCTTTTAGAAGATTTTAATAGGTAATGGTATCAATTTATCTCTTCCACTCTTCATGTTAAAGCATCAACATATTGTGTAGTGTCAATTGAGTTGGAGAATATACATGAAAGCTACCAGTTGAAAATACAATTTAAAGTATTTAAAGGCATTTGAAATGTAAGGAACAGTACAGAAGAAACTGAAGGAATCCAACCAATGGTGATTATCTTTTTTTTTTTTTTTTTTTTTTTTTTTGAGACGGAGTTTCACTCTTGTTACCCAGGCTGGAGTGCAATGGCGCGATCTCGGCTCACCGCAACCTCCGCCGCCTGGGTTCAGGCAATTCTCCTGCCTCAGCCTCCTGAGTAGCTGGGATTACAGGCACGCGCCACTGTGCCCAGCTAATTTTTTGTATTTTTAGTAGAGACGGGGTTTCACCATGTTGACCAGGATGGTCTCGATCTCTTGACCTCGTGATCCACCCACCTCGGCCTCCCAAAGTGCTGGGATTACAGGCTTGAGCCACCGCGCCCGGCCAATGGTGATTATCTTTAGGCTCACGACAAGAAAGCCCTAAAATGTTTCTACAACTACAAATGTTAGTTATTTGTAGCTGTACAAAAGCATATATGGAAAGGACTTGTGCCACAATTAAAATTAAGGAACCATCTCAAGAAAGAACAGAAAATCAACTGAGAATATATATATATATATATATATATATATATATATATATACACACACACACACACACACATATACACACACACATATTTGTGTGTGTGTGTGTGGGGGGGGTGACGGGTCTTGCTCTGTTGCCAGACTGGATGGAGTGCAGTGGCGCAATCTCGGCTCACTGCAACCTCTGCCTGCTGGGTTCAAGCGATTCTTCCACTCAGCCTCCCGAGTAGCTGGGACCACAGGCGCGTGCCACCATGCCCAGCTAATTTATTTATTTATTTATTTATTTTTAGTAGAGATGGGGTTTCACCATGTCAGCCAGGATAGTCTCCATCTCTTAACCTTGTGATCCACCCACCTCAGCCTCCCAAAGTGCTGGGATTACAGATGTGAGCCACCGCACCTGGCCAATCAACTGAGAATATTAATCTCTTTTAAAAATAAACCAATTCCATTTCCAAAAAGAAAATTTATTGCTAAAGCAAAAATTCTAGTGAATATTTTGATAGTAAGCTATTTAAAATACCTCACAAAAATCCTAATACTCTAATCTTATCTAGCTGAACCAGACTCATTCAGATTAGATTGATAAATATTCAGGTCACAGTTATTGCCTAAGGAAGAAAACTCCACATTCAGTCTGCAGCTTCGTAAAAGACCTAAATCTTCCTATCTCACTCTCACTTTCACTTTTCATTTTTCAAATAGTGCTGAATAATCTTCCCTGGGAGACATGTTTCCTGTTTTAAAGCTTCTGAAACGTCAAAATCCCTTAATAGGATTTAAAGAACAAGATGCTACTGTCAAATACTTTACAAGTGTTTCAGAGTTGTAGATACCAGTAATATAGCTTCTTAGACTTAAGACAAAATGCACCTGTAGATCATATCAAATTGCCTCAAAACTCCTAAACAAACACACTTTTATTTGTTATAAAGGCTACAGATTTAAAGACTGTTAGTTTGTGAACTTGTTAATAAAAGAAAAACTTGTTATATTATCTATACAAAGAAAAAGGAGCAGAAGGGTATATTCTAGGTGCCTGCCAGTGGTAACAGTATTTCCTAACACTTCTATACTTAACATGCCTCATTTTATAAGAAAACATTATTCAATAAGTTTGCATTATTTTTATAATAAGAAATAAGCTATTAGTATTTGAGGGGGGAGCTTGTTTACAATGAACTTACGTCACACTTAAAAGAAAGGCTAAAATTCTAGGCAGTAACCTGTTCAATTTTGAAATTAGCTTAATACAAGACCAAAAATGTTTTTTAAACACTGAGTATGTCCAATGAGTAGCAGAGGGCAACATATGTAATAGAAATAAAAGAGAAAGATACTAAGAGACCCCTGAGTGGAACAGGAAACTGCCTGTGTAGCCCTGGAGAATTTAAGATTCTTGACAAGGAACTTACAAGAGCCACATACATGAAACAAATGGACAACAAAATGAACAACATTAGCATGTCACACTGTGGAAAACCAATAGGACTAGAATCCAAGAGACCTGGTTATGATGTGGACTTGGCACTCCGAACTTCAGCAAATTACTTGTCCTTTCTAAGCCCCAGTTTCCAGATGTGTGAAATGTTATTTTCAAATGTGTGAAATGTTAATATCACTTACCCCTGTCTAACTCACAAGTAAGGAAAAACTAATGAATTCTATACATGTCCACTATTAGATACTCAGTGTTAGATAATGTAGTTCAGATTATACGTGCTACAGGAATTCAGAAAAGAGAGAATTCTGTGTGGGCTAGAGTACTCCGAGTAACTTAAAAGCAATTTTACATAGGCCAAGAGAAGAGGCATGCAATGCAGCATTTAAGCAAACCAAAAGTTGTACCACTTAATAAGCTGGCAATCCTCAAGAAATGTCTATAGTATCAAAATGTTTTTACAAAGTGACATACTGGACAATTGATTGGAAGTTGTATTATCATTTTATACTTGGAGAAAAGGAGTCCCAAAAAGGTTACTATTTTTCAGCATTCTTGCCTACTCTAAACAAGCTCCATCATGAAATGGTTAGAAAAAAGTCATTATAAAACACTAAAATTTCTATCATAATTTTTTTAATACCAGAAAAGACTATAGGAAAAATTAGAATGTGTGGAGTGCAATTATTTCCAACTATTTTTCAAGAACTAACTCACATTCATCTTTCTCCCATACCATAGTGATATTTTTTATTAATCTTCAGATTTGCTCTTAAACTCATTAATTTAAAAACCAACCTAATACTAACTAGTAATACTTTTTTATCATATAAAATCATCTTGCAGTATTTATTTCCTTGTTTTCTTAATATCTTGGACTCTTGTATGTGTTTAAAGTAATATATTGCATTCCTTATAATGACTAGAAGTACTGTGTACATAAGTAGGCTTAAAGCACATTCTACTTTTCAGTGCGATTTCACACACATTATTGGGATGAGACAAAAGACCTGTGAAGGTAATGATTATTGTTCTACCTAGACACGACTTAATGCTAAAATCATTTGGCTTTAGTATTCAAACTAATGGACAAATTTACTATGCAGTCTGAGTCCAGATATTTTGCCCATAACTACTATACTATACTATACTATACTATACTATACTATACTATACTATACTATACCATACTATACTATACTATACTGTCTCTCTATAGTAAATCACTCAATACATAATTTTAAGATTTTGGTTGTTTTTCTGCAGAATCTAAGTTTGTTTTCCTAATTGATCAAAGACTTTTACTGTTCAAAAAGGATTAAGCTTTGGTTCAGATGACTTAATGTTCATTTGACCAATACGTTTGGGCACCTATGTGTGCTTAGTATTATTAAGTACCTGTCTAGTGCGAAGCATTTGCGCGTAACTCATTTACTCAATCCTCCCAACAAGTTTGAGAGTTTGGTATTGCTAATCTTAAAGATGAGGCAATCTGGGCACTGCGAAATAACTTATACAAAGTGATAAGGCAAATAAATGACAGGGCTCTAATCTCCTAACTCCATTAACTACTTAAATATAAGGAAAACCTGGCAGCCATTGCCCTGGAGAACTGGAAAAGAATCGGGAGTCACGGGAAGATACCGGCAGCCGAAGGGAAATGCCAAGCTTCTGGTCCCACAGTCTCACTCTCCCCAGGATCCACCTTATGCCGCCAACAAACTAACCTCATTACTAGCAACGACGGGAAATTTATCAGAGATTCGGGAATCTAGAGAGCCAAGTTCTGGGCAGACGCTTAAACATTTATAAACTGATTCCCTTTAGGCAACTCTCACCAAGCAAAAAGCATTTAGCAAGGCCAGAGCAGAGCACTGACCTAGGAGTCCCGGAGGAGCAAATGCCAGAGCCCCATACTTGTCTGCCTGTTTTTTCCGTTATTTTGAAAAAAAGTAATAATAAGGCCGGGCGCAGTGGCTCACACCTGTGGTCGGGAGTTCGAGACCAGCCTGACCAACATGGAGAAACCCCCGTCTCTACTAATGATACGAAAATTAGCCGGGGGTGGTGGCTCATGCCTGTAATCCCAGCTACTCGGGAGGCTGAGGCACGAGAATCGCTTGAACCCGGGACGCGGAGGTTGCAGTGAGCCGAGATCGCGCCACTGCACTCCAGCCACGGCAACAAGAGCGAAACTCCATCTCAAAAAAAAAAAAAAAAAAATGTAAGTACGGGCAGGGCAGACCGGCATCCACCTCTCAGATCCTCCCTGGTACTCATTCAACCCCCGACGAACTCCCTCTGGCCGCCCGACACCCAGGCCTGGCCCGACCTCCCCTACTTCCTCTCACCGTCCTTCATCTGGACAATATTGCTGGCGGCCACCCGATCGGAGGCGACAAGAACATAGTCGGGGCCTTGGATACCGATGAGGTACTCCATGGTGGCGGCAGGCCAGGGGCTCCAGATCCGACAGAACGCGAGCCTAGCCGACTTCCCGGTCTCACCCGTGAGACAGCACCTCCAAGCGAAGCTTGGCGCGACGCCGGCCGCGCGACTTCCACGGCGCTCTCGGATGACGTACAACTGTCGCGAGAGGTTGGAAAGTGGGCGCGGCGCCGGGTGCCTTACGGCCAGTCCTTGTCTCTGGTGTCGTCCGAGTATCTTCCGATGCCCGCTGTGCAGGTCACTTACCTTATGTGACGTCCAGTTTCTCTGTCTACAGACTGGGATTTTAAAACTCGCTTTAGGATAAAATCACGCGGTGTATGTAAGGTGTGGAGCACGTGTGGGTGTCAAAAAGGCATAGGGGGCCGGGCGCGGTGGCTCACGCCTGTAATCCCAACACTTTGGGAGGCCGAGGCGGGTGGATCAGGAGGTCAAGAGATCGAGACCATCCCGGTCAACATAGTGAAACCCCGTCTCTACTAAAAATACAAAAAATTAGCTGGGCCTGGTGGCACGTGCCTGTAATCCCAGCTACTCGGGAGGCTGAGGCAGGAGAATTGCCTGAACCCCGGAGGCGGAGGTTGCGGTGAGCCGAGATCGCGCCATTGCACTCCAGCCTGGGTAACAAGAGCGAAACTCCGTCTCAAAAAAAAAAAAAAAGAAAGAAAGAAAGAAAAATGGGAAATAAGAAACAAGAAAGTGTAAATTGGGGTAAGGCTCTAGGATGTACAACCTTTTTGTAGAGAACAATTTTGATATCTATTAAAAGTAAATGTGCCTAACCTTTTAAATATGTCCAAAAGAAATGTTTGCACACACAGTCCAAATATTTGTGTACAGAGATACTCAGCGTTGCCAGGCGCAGTGGCTCACACCTGTAATTACAGCACTTTTAGAGGCCAAGACGGGCAGATCACGAGGTCAGGAGTTCAAGGCCAGGCTGGCCAACATGGTGAAACACCGTCTCTACTAAAAATACAAAAATTAGCTGGGTGTGGTGATGCGCACGTATAAGTCCAGCTACTGGGGAGGCTGAGGCAGGAGAATCGCTTGAAGCTAGGAGGCAGAAGTTGCTGAGAGCCAAGATCACACCATTGCACTCTGGGCAACAGAGCAAGACTCTGTCTCAAAAAAAAAAAAAAAAAAAAAAAAAAAAATTCACTGTTGCAGCACTACAACACAAAAGAGGACCAATTTACATGTCTAAAAGTAGAGACATTGTTATATAAATTATGGTACAGTCAGAGTGGAATATTATGCACCCATAAAAAGAATGAAATGAATCTAAATATACCTTATATTACATGGCCCAAGATAGATTAAGTGAGAATAAAAATGGTTTCCTATGTGTAGCTTGATGCCATTTTGTTTAACAATGAATATTAGAATATGAATGGAAATACCTGTAAATACCTATTTACATGTGTTCCAATGTCAAATTATATGCAGTTATTACCCTGGTACGTGTGATTTGAAGGGAGGACTTTCACTGTTTATTTTATACATATTAGTATTGTTTGAATGTTTTACAATGCTCATGTATTATTCGTATTTTTTCTAATAGAAAAAAACTCAGCCATCCCTTTATATCGTGAAGCAATTTTGAAAAAAGTTTGAAATATTTCTTGACTGGGTTTCTGACATCCACAAATGAGTCTTCATACTAGCTTACTGAGAAATGGGAAAATAGTTGCAATTGTGTCTCCAAACACAACTATGCAATTCCTTTGCTTCTGCAGAAATTGTAATACGTACTTTATTCTGAATGTTTCTTCCAGCTCCCTGCTCATAAAGGAACACAGAGCCTGAGGAGTTTGAGGCAGCCTATCAATCATGGGATGGATGCCAGGGGCAAGTGAGGTCATTAAGTCAACCATCCACTATGAACACAGCTGCATCCATCATTCTAGAAAGATAGATTCTTTTCTTAAATACCAGTAGGAAGGGGTGGGTCTCTTTGTCTTTCTCCCCCTCCCCACTTTCTTATTGTGTGTGTTTGTGTGTTTTTTTAATTGCAAAAAGTATTTGGTTATACTATATATATATATATATATATATATACATGCATATATATATACACACATATATACATAATTTGTGTATGTATATATACATACACAAACAATATAGAAGAAATGAAGAGTTAAATGTCTCTCCTTCCATCAAAGGTAACCACTCACCAATTGTCTATAACCTTCCAGACCTTTCCTTTATACATACCAATATTAATTCATTTACAAATGCTGCAGAATTCTGAATTGGAAGATCTACAGTTTTTTATTATTATTTTTTTAAGGACTACCTTTTAAGCTGATTCATCCCTCTTTCTCTTCAGGCCTTTTTTTTTTTTTTTTTTTTGAGACAAAATCCCAGGTTCAAGTGATCCTCCTGCCTCAGCCTCCCAAGTAGTTGAGACTATAGTCACATGACACCAAACCCAGCTCTCACCAGGACTTTTCAAAATCCCCTTTAGCTAAGTAGCACTAGAGCTGCCCTAATCTCTTGTTAGTATAGAAGAAAACAGGTGTTCAAGGCCTGCCTTGTGCTGTCTCACTAAGAATCAGGGAGAATCCCTCCTCCAACTAAATCCTTAGAATAACTGAGTCTTAGAATTATAAAAAGTCTGTGGAGGTTCACAGAAGCAGCATGATGTAGCAAAAATATTTACAGGCAATAAATATTTTTGGCTTTGCGGGTCATACTCCCTCTGTAACAACTACTCAGTGATACTATTATAGTGTGAAAGCAGCCATAGACAATACATTAACGAGAGCATGGCTATGTTCCAATAAAACTTTGCTTGCAAAACAGGTAGGGGAAGGGGGAAGGTAGACTTGGCTCATGGACCATAGTCTTCCTCCCTGATATAGTTGAAGGCTGTAAGTTAACACTTATGTGTTGTCCCAGCTCTACCTCTTTCAGCCTTGGTGCAAAATTCATTTAGCCTCCCTGAGCCTCAGTTCTCTTCTTTATAAAGGAAGCATTCAGAAGAGAGAGCTTTGTGTTTCCCTTGAGATGGGGCAAAGATGCAGGTCTGGTTGTTGCATGAGTATAAGGAACCATATTCTGCGAGTTTGGCAGAAACTTAATAAAGAAAGACTGCAGTGTTTGGGGAACATGGCCATAATGTGGAAGCTACCAACCTTGCCAAGACTCCCAAGCCCAAACTTGAGATAAAAGCATCAGCGTAGCCCACCCTCAAAAGACCCTGTGAGCTTAGACAATAGAATTGGAACAAGGGCAGACTGGAGATCAGAGGCATATCCCAAAACATTTAGGACAGTCACTGTACTGCATACTGTTGATAGCCTGCCCTTACTCCCTTTACCTACCTGGGCACCCATTTCCAGCTGTTATAAATGTTGGTTGATAACAACTCACAACTCCCCTTTTCTTGAGAGTATTTCCCTCAGCCAAACAGGAGTCCCCCTTGCCTAGGAGGCTGTTCGCCAATACCTACCCCTTGCCAATGATTGATTGACTGACACAGGGATAAAAGATCCGTTCACTGAATTTAAGTGGGATACAGTTTGTCCTCCAGAGTCTCCCTGTGGGATCAGTCTAAAGCTGGTCTCTAGACAAGATCAAGTTCTGGCTTAGCTTTTCCTCCCTCCCCTATCTTGCTTCCTAACTCTGCTTCTCCTGAGAGCACGTCCCCAATTAATGACTTGTACTAGCACTCTCATTTTGGTTCACTTCTAGGGAACTCAAGCTAAAAAGCATTTGGCACCAGAAGTGATCCTAGAAAGCAGTCTCCAAGGGATTCTGGAGCAGGATCACTTACTGGCCGGAGGATGATGAGGACACCAATCTTGGCAGTAGAAAGAATATTGACAGTTCCCAACCTCCTGTAACAGTGCTAACAGCAGATGCAAGCTCAGCCTTTCACCTGTGTTTAAATGGGATGGGTTACAGTGGAAAGTATGCAGTAGCTGGAAAACTCTTGAACACTTGAGAAAAACAGTAATTGTCTAGACCAAGGAATTGGGTGGCTATTGCTGAGTGCCATTGATTCATTAAAGACAGAAAGTGAAGGCTAGGCACAGTGGCTCACAACTGTAATCCCACCACTTTGGGAGGCCAAGGCAGAAGGATTGCTTGAGGCCAGGAGTTCAAGACCAGCCTGGGAACATAGCAAGCTCACACCTCTAAAAAAAAAAAAAAAAAAGAACCTGGTGTGGTACATGCCTAGCTACTACTGCTTGGGAGGCTGAGGCAGGAGGTTTGAGGTTATAGTGAGCTAGGATTGTGCTACTGTACTCCAGCCTGAATGACAGAAAGACTCTGTTTTAAATGAAGGGGGAACAGGGAGAGGCAAGGGGGAAGGAAAGAGAAAGAGGGAAATTTGTATGTCTTTAAGAGATCATTGTTTAAGGCAAAAATAACATATTGTAGAATTTATAATATATTTTGAAGTGAAATGTAGGATAACAAAAGCACAAAGGCCAGGAGGGGAGGAATTAGAATATACTGCTGTAAAGTACTCATATGGTACATGAAGTAGCATAACATTACTTGAAGGTAGTCAGTGAAAGATGTATGCAATACATCCCAAACATAGTAAAATAATACTACAAAGGGTTGTAGCTAATGTGTCAACAGAAAACAAAATGAAATAATATACTCAATCTGAAAGAAGACAAAAAAGGAAGAAAAGAAAAGGCATGAGAGACAAATAGAAAACAAATAGCAAGATGGTAGATTTAAATCCAATGATATCCGTAATCACATAAATATAAGTGGTCCAAACACCTCAATTGAAAGGCAGAAATTGTCAGATAAGATGAAAAAGGAAGATCCAGCTATATGCTGTCTACTAGATACCCACTGTAAACATAAAGACACACAAAGACTTGTACACAAATACTCATAACAGCTTTATTTGTCATAGTAAAACACTGGAAAAGACAGAGAAAGAGTCATGCCTATCAACAGCATAACACGTTGTGATATCCATGCAATGGAATACTACTCAGCAATCAAAATGAATGAACTATTGTGCCCAGCAGTATGGATAAGCCTCTATTATACTGAGTGAAGAAAAGAGACAAAAATCACTGTATGGTTTCATTTATATAAAGTTCTAGAAATGCAAACTAATCCATAATGACAGAAAGAAGATC